AAGAGGTCATGCATTATCCAGAGCACTTCAGTGGTGAGCGACTGTAAATTCAGTCTGACATAACAGTATCAATCAGTTCTTCTAAGCTCCCAGGAGGAACTGAAAAACTAAAAAGGATATTTCTCCATGTGTCTGTCTTGTCTGTTATGGTTACTATGATGATGACTTCATGTGGAGAACGAAACAAAAAGAAACAAATTGTGCTGTTGAGCTTCTTTCTTTCTTTCTTTCTATGGGGTTGCTAGAGGTGCCAAGCGCCCTCAAACAAACGCAAGAGCACCCTCAGTTGAAATAATATTGGCAAACACCCTTGGTAACCACTTCTAGGCGGCTGTTTACACTCGAGACGAGTGCCAAAGGTTTCTATTTACTACATGTTTTTGCAGCACTGTAGCCAATCACAGACATGTTTGAGTTCATGAGCAGAATTAGAGGTGTTTAAAATGATACATTAATATGTATAGTGACGATTCAAGCAATCAAGCAGTTAAAATTTGCTATATTGCCCTAGGTGAAGAACTGTGTGTGTATATGTGTGTGGATGTAATCCGCCGGGACTGGCGGATTAATGTGAGAATGAAACACGAGCTAAATCTTGGATACACGAAAAAAAAGGATGAATCCTGTACGCCGGAGGTAATTTGAGGCGGACTGTCACTGGACTAATGATTTTGGTGACAGTGAACGGGACAATGAATTTGAGAGCAAGTTAATTAGAAACGGAGCGGAGAGGAATGTTCCTTATTGAAAGCCACACCTTTTGACAAACAACGTATACAGGAGGCTTCGACCGGTGGGGATCAGCCTTGTTGCATGCCTTGGTGCATGCCCCCACCTGGAGTAGAGTCTCACAGGCTCTAGTCCAACTGCGGTGACACCTCTGGACGAAGGCGTGAGCGGAGGGGACCGCGACCTCGGATTCTAGACTGGGAAAAATAGGTGGCTGGTACCCTAAACTACATTCAAATGGAGATAAACCCGTGGCCAACACTGGTAACATGTTGTGGGCATACTCCATCATGGACAGTTGTTGGCTCTATGAGGAAGGATTCTTTGAAACCAAACATCACAACACCCTTTCCAGATCCTGGTTGGCTCTCTCGGTCTGGCCATTGCTCCCTTTGAATCCATCTTCTACTTTTGTGGAAAGTTGACTTAAGTTGTGTCGCTCGAGTTGTCTTCTCTGATACGGAGAATGGCGGCGAATACACAAACCTGCCAGTCATAGCCAGGCAAGCTTGAACACGCATGACGTCACGCCCAGTCTCAGATTCAAGCCCGAATCCCTCTTATTTATTTCACTGTACAGGATTATAGAGCCGATCGCAGTGATCAGAGGGCTCATTCAGCCCATCAGGCGATTGGTTAAGCATGTATGGGTTAGAAAACGGCTATTTTTACTATGCAATGTTGCGCAATGCACCTTTAACCAAAATTGATTTGATCTGGAACAAGTAATTGATTAATAAAACCAAATTTGCCCATTTGATATACCCCATAATTAATTATATCTTATGTTGAACCACCATCTACATAAGAGCCAGTGGCACCTTCCCGAAGGACTGGCCAGAGATGACGCTGTTCCCTTTCGAGGCAACTCGCAATGCGTTGTTGAAAATGACTCTTTGGGGACGCTCCCTTAGCGTGTGCTTCTGAAGTATGAATGAAACTAACCCAATCCTGATTGGTGTTGCGTCGTGACTTAACATGTGACGGCATAACCGGATGCATATAAGTGACACCGACACACACACATCAGCTCAATTTTCCACCCACACTGGCTGGGGCGCGGTCATTGACGGCTGCTTTGCCATGGGTCTGTGTTCCGGGGGTTCAGAATCAGGGAGCAGACATCCTATTGAGGCAGGGGCTGAGGCCCAGGGAATGGAGACTTCATCCAGATGTGGTGAAGTCGATATGGGAGAGGTTTGGACCGATGGACGTGGATCTATTGTGGCCCTATTCACGTCTCGAGAGATGTCCCACTACCCTCTTTGGTTCTCCCTCTCTCGCCTGTACACTTTTCCCCGATCGCTCTGCTCCCGGAAGGCCTGGAGAGGGTCCGTGTCAGGAGGGCATCAGTCTACTTCTGGTTGCCCTAAAGTGGCCAGCCCGAGTGTGGTTTTCAGACATAATTTCACTCCTGATAGCTCCACCATGGCAGATTCCTCTCAGGAGGAATCTGTTGTCTCAGGCGGAGGGCACATTTTTCTACCTTCACCCGGAGCTGTGGAAACTGTGGGTCTGGCCCCTGAGGGGGTTCAGTACTTGAATGCCAGGTGGTTGAAACCATACTTCAGTGTTTCCTCTAGGATTTTTCCAAGCTGTGGGGGCAGGCCCATTTCCCCGGTGGGGGGGCCTTGTCTCCCCAAAGTATTATAATCGATCATGCGCATCCCGTGTGCAGAATGATGCACTTGAAGCAACACCAAGTCACAGCAAGCAATGCTTCACATTGAAAAGAACATAGCGAAGGGATTATATCTATAATATGCTTAGTAGGGCTGGACGATTTGGGGAAAATGTCATATTGCCATTGCAATTACTGAGGTCAATATTGCAATTGTGATATGCGATTCCGATATAATAAAATGGTTTCATGAGTCCAACTTGCTTGGTTCTAAAGTAAAATGCACACACAGATTAGTGATCATTCTGTGTATTAAAGAGTAACTAAACCCCTGGTCAGAGCCTGACTCCACCCACTAGCAATATTTGAAAAATGCTGAAAAAATGGGCAGACCCCAGCGGGGCCAGGGGGCGTGCACCTGAGACCCGCTGTGAGTGAGAGCTGCTGTCAGACTCTAAAATAGAGCGAGACTGGAGTGACTCAAGTAGCTGCCTTTGCAACAGAGCGGCCATTTGAAGTCGAGGACTTTTCTCCCTCACCTTCACCTGAAGTGGATGAGGGTGAATTGTATGTAGACACAGGGCCAAATCCATTCGAGCCGCTGGCTCAAACTGCGGTCTTAACTCCCGCATCGCGACCGGCATCTGATGAGTTTTGTCGTCGAGTTGATCTCAATAGCGCACGCTCTGTGGGCATGTATTCATATTGATATTCTGCCGCTATGTGAAAATTGATATTCTGCCGCATTTTGCTGTCAAAATCCAGCAAAATGCACCGGCTCGTTTGTCGACCCCAGAGGATTAACTTTATCCTAACCATAAATTGTGATTAAAATATCCATGATCACTCACATCAAGACGCCGCTGCGGTGGAGGAGTACATGCAGGACGAGCAGTGTTTGGCACTGCGTGTGGAGCTGTGTGGAGAAGCCCATGTCCACCTCTATTCCGTCACTATCCTGATCACTGTACTAAACTAATATATGATATCCTGATCGTTTTCAATACTCATAAATCCAACTCCTGACTCGCTACAGTAGTTTTGACGGAACCAGATGCTTTTATACCAGGGGCTAACAAGGGCGTGGTGAGCTCGCACCAAGGGTGTGACAGAGTGCGTCTGAGAGTTCGCTACGTCAGCAAGTACCCCTACTGCAGGAGCTTTCCGTTTAACCTGAAGAGGGCAGCACTCAGACGTTTTTACACCATATATTTGAAAATCAAAACACTTTATACTCAATTGTCAAAAAATGTACTCGAATGAACAGCATTTATGAGGCTCCATTCTTACAGATCATTAACTAAAAAAAGTTGTTTTGGTGTTTAGTTACCCTTTAATGTTTATTTCTCAACTCAAACTACAGACAACAACTAAATGATTGATAACACCTATAATGATCAATAAACCGTCAACCAAACCATCATTACAGTGAAAGCTTTTTATAAAAAGCTTTTTAAAAAAAATTATTAGGCAAAAAAAAAAATTTAACAAATTTTAAATTAAGTGAACTTCAAACAATCCCCACATAAACCCATAATAAAAACCATATTTACCTGTGCCCTTCTTAACAGGTAGGATACAGAAATTGAATAAAGTTATCAAACAGTATGTGCTGCATGAATTATAAATTATATATAGAATAATCCTTATTAAAGCTACAAAAGTTCTTTAGTCAAGATCAGTGAGTAATTTTCTAATTTCCCTTTGTTCTTTTAACTTGACTGACAGAACGCTTTATTCGCTGCTGGCCCTTTAAGAGCACCCGTTGCCGAGACGCGGATCTCACATGCGCCTCATAGCACAACTCTTTTCGTCCTTAAGACTTTTCTTACGTTATGAAGATACTCGACAAAACGACATTTTGGCATAATTGTGTGTGTTATTGTTCGTTCAAGCTCGAAAGAGAACTGTAATCTGGCACGCGTCAGTGCATGCGCATTATGGCGCGCGTCTTTCTGCGAGTCTCATTTAGGGCATTCACAGGCAGCTTTTCAGTTCTTGCCTTTTCACATTTTGCACGAATAAGAACAGGATCGTGTAACACTAGTCAAAGGATGACAAAAAAGAAGAGATGCTGCGTTAATAGCCCTAATTTGTTTATTTCATATAAAATCGCGGCATTTTGCGTTATATAATTGCATAGGTTTGAGATCGCTATTACGATTGCGATATGATTAATCGTGCAGCACTAATGCTTAGTGTATTCTATATGCAACAGTTTTCTGAGCCTTTTCTTTTAACAGTTTTAAATTTCAGTGCGCATGAAGAACAATAGCACTCTCTCGACTCCATGCTGTAATCTTACATAAAGAGAACGTGAAAGGTATGGGCAATAAACTCCACTCCAGCAAGATAAAGTCATTTTATGAAAACCATAGACCTTTATGCTTTATCTACAAATGAAGTATAATAATGGGAATATTGACCTTGAAGAGAGTGTCGTCGTGTCGCAAACGAACGCGACGCGCTGTGTGAATTCTGAATGGAGAATGACTGAGGCGAGATGACTTTCCGTTAACTTTAACTTAGCGACTAAAATTACACATTATGCACATTACACATTACTTAAGAAGTCTTGTAATATAGGGTGAAAACTTGATTGTGCTTTACAAAGTTTTTTATGCCTTTAGTGGGGCTTAACAAAATAACATAATACTATGCAGAATATCGGACGTCACTGAGAAGCTGCAGCCGTGGCGGGAGGATTTTAAGTGTGGCGGCCCGCCACGGGAGAATGAATGTAGAGGAAACACTGTACTTAGTTCTAGGGCTCCATCTACTAGGAGATTGTATGGCTTCAAGTGGAATGTGTTTTCCACTTGGTGGAGAGAACATGTGTTACATCCAGTTAACTGCCCGGTGGCTTCAATTCTGGAGTTTCTTCAAGATAGTTTCTCTGCGGGTCTCTCCCCTTCCATGCTTAAGGTGTACATGGCTGCCATTGCGGCTTTCCACACGCCATTGAGTGATGGGCCTCTGGGGAGGCACCAGCTGGTCATTCGTTTTCTCTGTGGTACTTGGAGGATGAGACCGACGACCAGCTCCAGGATTCCTGCCTGGGACCTGGTGGTGGTTCTCGAAGGGTTATCCCTGGCCCCTTTCAAACCCCTTCAGTTGGCTTCGCTCAAGGGTCTGACGTTCAAATTGGTTTTTCTCTTAGCTATTACCTCTCTTAAGAGGGTGGGAGATCTCCAAGCCCTAGCAGTGACACCAGCTTGCTTGGAGTTTGCCCCTGGCAGAGTTAACCCCTATGGGTCGGGTATCACGCCGGCGTGATATGCTCACTGTTTTTCTTATCAGTGCAAAAGAGACTCAAAATACTCTGTTGAATTTGATCTTACATATAACTGTTATACATCATTAGATCCTGTTAAGTTTCTATTTTTTGTGGATACTCACAATAAAAAAAGTGTTCTACTTTTCCTCAAATAAAGAAAAATAAACATGGTGCAAGTTTTGCGTTCTCTCTGTCAGGGAAATCCATTCTTAAAAGTGTCCGAAAAATTAACTGAAATTCTCTTATTTTAAATGAAGTAATTTGTATAAAAAGCAATTTTTCAATTCAATTCAATTCAAATTTATTTGTATAGCGCTTTTCACAATACATATTGTTTCAAAGCAGCTTTACAGAAAGTGCATTTCAGAAATTTACATAGAAAAACACATTTAGTTAATCATGTAATAATTTAGGGCATAACATATCACTGGCATTGAGTCATCTCTTCACAGGCGTTGAATCGTCTCTTCATAGGCCTTTAGTCTTCTCATCACGGGTGTTTGGGCATCTGAAGTCTCCGTGAGAGGCTGGATACAAACTGGAGCTGATGAACAGCATTTTTCTTGGGACTCGCATCCCTTGATAACAGCAGAAATGGGAAATAATTAGCATAGCTGCTGTTCATAATGATTTCCATTACACTAGAGTAGATGTTAAAAACTTGAAGACAGTGACTGCTTATGGACCTCTACATCCCTCCAGCTGAGACCTAACCACAATCTCTCTGCAACCAAACCATACGCACCAAACCGTTTGAATAAGGCTGTCGAGCCCCACTGGTGCATTAGTGGCAACGGTTCCTTATGGCATACCACGTTCCGCAAAACACAATATCTGCCCAACCGCCCATCATTCACGCAATATACACAGGAACGTATTGACTGTAAATGCTATGCAACCTATACAAATAACCAACAGACTCTTCAAGTTTTATAATATTAAATTCGATCTGATTCAGCATAGGAATAAAAGTTAAGCATTATGTGAATGCTTGGCTAAAGAGATGCGTCTTTTAATCTAGTTTAAACTGGGACAGTGAATCTGAGCCTCGAACAATATCAGGAAGGCTATTTCAGAGTTTTGGAAATGCGAGAACGCCCTCCCTCCTTTAGTGGACTTAGATATCCTAGGAATGACCAGAAGCCTCGAATTTAGTGATCTTAAAGAACGTGATGGATTGTAGGGCGAAAGAAGGTCCATTAAATACACAGGAGCTAAACCATTTAGGGCTTTATAGGTCAGTAGTAGTACTTTGTAATTGATACGGAACTTAATAAGTAACCACGGTATACAGTAGATGTTAAAATTGGTGTTTTATTATCATAGTTTTTTGACTCTAGCAGCTGCATTTTGCACTCTTGTGTGGACCGAGTGGACTCCTGTCCGGTTTCTAGTACGGTCTGATTCTCTTTCCCTTTTTTTGGACATTTCTGAGTGAGTTGTCTTGGAATGCGTGCAAGTGGCTTCATACAGTATGTTGTTGTTGGTGTGTGTGACGTCGTTGCCATAAACCATTTCGTGATTCTCGCGAGATGTGTCAGGGTCGCCGCTCTCAAACTTGCATGGCTGGTTTTTACGGTGACATCGATTCGCCCTACTATGACTTTGTTTACCACCGAAACGACTTTGAAGCTGTTATATTAAGGTACAGATCTTGCATTGAGTGCCTTTAAGCTTATGATGCTTTTGGAAAACACAGCCCAGAAATGAAGGAGTACTTTAAGTCTATTTTTCTGCTATGTGAAAAAAAATATGCCAAAACACGTCGCCGCGTTAGCCGACCTCTAGGGTTTAAATAGAATTACGATTACTGTAGGCTAATATATGTAGCAGGGCATTCAGTTACTTTTGAAAGGACAATAATGAAGTGTCAGTGTATGTCATAAGACTTTACTGTAACTTTGCCAGCTACTGTATATAAAATAATCTAACATTTCCTCATGCTTTCCACTGCTTTTTAGTGACAGTCGATATGCATGGGACATTGGCGATTACAGTGATGGCCATACCATACCCACATCCCTTCTTCTCATAGCTATCCACGCCCATTTAAGTTGCATTTTTCTAGAAAAGATTGTGAGCTAGACGTCAGCTGAAAGAGGGGGGTTTCATGACCCTTTAAGAAGACGCTGCTTAAGAAAAGCATGCACATGCAATTATCTAGGCTATATAAACCTGGATCAAATTAGTGCTGATTGCGTGAAATTCAATTACCTTTTGTGAAATCGCTTTAGCCCCAATTTATTTGTTAGATTCATTCAAGTCATGTGTTGGAGTTTAATCCCCGCTTTTCTTAGCGTCTTTTATGAAACAGCCCTCAGATGCAAGCCCGTTGCTGTTTATCATTATGATAAATGATGTATTTGTACAGGGTCCAGAAGACATAGGAAGGTCTTTGTTTGCAGACGATGGGGCGGTGTGGAAAAGAGGAAGGAACATGGAATATGTTATAAGGAATGTACAGGAGGCAATTGATTAGGTGGCAGAATTGATTGGGGGTTTAGTTTTTCAATAGAAAAGAAGCAGTCAGTCTTTTTTTTTCAGGAAATGTGATGAAATTTCTGACAGGAAGAGAATGGGGAGCTAGTCACTCATCTCGAAAGAGTTTATATGTGGCATTGATTAGTTTGGTTTTGGATTATGGTTGCATAGTGTTTGGATCAGCAACCAAGTCTCTGTTAAAGAGAATGGAGGTGATCCAAACACAGTCATTGCAAATCTGTCGTGGAGCTTTTAAAACATCTTCAATATCAGCCATACAGGTTGAAATGGGAAGAAATGGCGCTGAATTTAAGAAGGATCCAATTGGTGACTTTGGGCTAGTTTTCAGGGGCATAATGACTCCCATCCTACAAAAATAGTACTCCAGGAGTGTTGGGAAAATGGTAGAAATCAAAGGGACAATTTTTTTAATTTAAGGATGTGGTCCTACGGTTGTTTTTCCAGAGATAGCTCCATGGAAGATGGTGTGGGTGTAAAGCTAGAGAAAAAAAAAAAAAAGAAAGTGAAGGAGGAAATTAATTAAGTAAGCGTTTTAAAAATCATGTAGGAGGAAAATATAATGAATTTAGACAGATTTATATGGACAGGGCTAAAAAAGAGACAACAGACAGACAGAGACAACAGGGTTCGGGGTGGTTATACCAGGAAAATGAATTTGAATAAATAGAAGAACATCGGATAAATTAGGGGTGTAGAATTGTAGAAATGTTGGTAATATTAATTGCATTAAGGTGGGTGGAAAAGACAGGAAAGGACAAAGCATTAATATGCTCTGACTCAGCTTCATCAGCTTGGTCTTTCTACGGTTATGTTATCTCCCATCTCATTTCTTTCTATGGTTATGTTATCTCCCATCTTGAACATCCAGATGTTCTAAAAGGTACAGTTTTTAAATGGTTTTAGTCCTATTTGTGTGTTAGGTGCTTTTCGGTAAATTATAATAATAGGACCTCGGCTAAAAAAACTCTCTCTTGGGGGGGTCCCACAAGGGTCTATTCTTTCTCCCATACTTTTTTTCCCCTTATATTTGCTCCCTTGGGTAGAATTTTCAGAAAGTATGGAGTATGGAGAACACTTTTAGAATATTTAAAGGACATTAAACACTGGATGGCCCAAAACTTTCTAATGTTAAACAAGGAAAAAAACAGAGGTTAATGTATTCGGAAACCCAAATAACTCCCCAAACACCATACTAGATTCAAGTCCTCTGGCATCTCATTTGAAAACAACTGTAAAAGATTTAGGTTTTTGATTTTTTTTTTTTAGGTAATTGATATTAACCTAAAAATGGACAAGCAAATTAATTCTATGGTTTGGACCTGTTTTTAAAATCTACGTTTATTAGCAAAAACTAAACCATTTTTATCAAATAAAGATTTTAAAAGGGTAATCCATTCCTTTATTTTAACAAGACTGGACATTTGTAACTCTCTGTATTGCAGCATCGCAGCCGCTTCTTTATCACGATTACAATCAGTGCAAAAGGCTGATGCGAAGATTTTAATGAAAGTAAAGAAATACGAAACAAGTCAAGTCAAGTCACATTTATTTATATAGCGCTTTTCACAATACAGATTGTATCAAAGCAGCTTCACAGTGATAACATGAAAGTAGCACAACACAGATCAACAACATTGCTAAACACTAAATAACCCCAACTGAGCAAGCTCAAAGCAAGCCAAAAGCAAGGCGACAGTGGCAAGGAACCAAAACTCCATCAGATTGGATGGAGAAAAAACCTTGGGAGAACCCAGGCTCAGTCGGGGGCCAGTTCTCCTCTGGCTTGCATTCATATTGTTTAAATATAAATATTAAATATAAATATTGTTTATGAATCAAACGGCGCCATAACATATCGCAGGCGTTGAGTCGTCTCTTCGATTACCGACTGAAGCAAGGTAATCGAAACAATTACACCTGTATTAGCGTCATTGGATTGTGTCACAAATCCATCCATGTCATCACTCCCTTCCACGTCATCACTCCCGCCCACTTGTTACACCAGATCCCAGTCACCTGAATTCTGATCACCGGCACCTGCACATCATGATGACACTCACTATATTAGTCCTAGTCCTCTGCACCTCTGTGTCTGGTCTCGTCTAGCGAACCTTCAGACTCTACTCACCTGTGAATCCTACCTGAAGATACTTACCTGACATTCTGTGTTTTCCTGTGGTCATCGCTCTGTCTCCTGGTCTCCTAGTCGTCTTGTGTCTCTTAAGTCCTCGTGTTCCTCAGTTCCCTGGTAAAGACATTGAGTTACTCTTCTGTGAAGTGTTCATCGTCTCAAGTTTATTCTCTTCACAGTCAAGTATTGATCTGCACTGTTCACTAAGCACCTCGCTCACTCTGCATATAAATAAATCTGAAAATATCTGCCTTGTTTGTCTTTCTGTGAGTGTGACAGAAGACCAGACCATCTACAATGCAGAGAACGAGCACTGTTTCCACAGGTCCGTTTGCTGAATTGGTGAACGCAGTTCGTCAAACACTTCTGCAACCCAGCACTCCTTCACCTGCTGCCTCTGCCAGGCCCATGGCCCGACCAGCGACCTATAGCAGCGAGGCGGAGGATTGCAGTGGGTTTATTCTTCAGTGCATGCTTCACTTTGAAATGCAACCCCAATTCTATTCCACGGATAGATCACGGATTGCATTTATAATATCCCTTCTCTCTGGTCGAGCTCTTGCGTGTTCACAAGCATTGTGGCAAGCTGATGTTACTGTAACAAAATCCTTAACAGCATTCATTCAGCATTTCAAGGAAGTTTTTGGGCAGTCTACGTCTCCTCTAACCGTCCATGATCAGCTTTTTCGACTGAAGCAAGGTAATCGATCGGTGGGATCCTATGCATTACATTTCCAAACACTCGCTGTGGCAAGTGGATGGGATGAAGTGGCTCTTCTTGCCGCCTATCACCAAGGTCTCAATCCTGAAATTTGTTAATTGATGGTTAAACATGATGACAATATGGGGTTAGAGGCTTTCATCCAAAAATCTATCCGTGTCTCCCAATGTCTTACTGCATGCTCTTCAATCCTACCTGCTATGCATCCTCCGCCTCCGGAACTATCAGCCACCCTTCCAACACCAGAACCCATGCAGGTAGATTTTCAGCGACTCTCTACAGCGGAATGTCAAAGAAGATGGATAAATCATCTGTGTCTGTATTGTGGGGGAGAAGGACATATCATCAGCCTGTCCAATTCGACCACCACGCCCAGCGGTGAGTACTATCCAACTCTCTCCTAAGATTGCACCCTTGACTCGTACTACTGTCTACCTTGTAACAGCCTGTTCCAATGTTCCAGCTCTCATCGACTCCGGATCAGCGAGTAACTTCATTTCCCACAACCTCCTTCAAAGGTTAGAGGAAACGCTGTCCCCAAAACCTAGAGATCCATACTATTCTTGGTAAGCCGCTGGGTCGTGGTCGCATATGTCACTTCTCTCCCACCATGACTCTCCGTATAGGCTGCCTGCATTACGAGGAGATCTCGTTCTTGGTGTTGGAAGGATTCACCATGGACATCATCCTGGGACGCCCGTGGATGTTCCAACATGAATCTCGGATTAACTGGGTTACTGGTGAGATTCTCCAGTGGGGTACTTCCTGTCATCAGTCCTGTTTATCTCCTGTGGTCGAGGTTTCTAGTCCTCCTCTCATTTCCAATTCTGCCAGTCTCATCTGCATTCACGTCTCCATCAACCTGATCCTGAACCTTCCAAGTCTAAAACCATCCTCCCTCCACCCATAATAGTCAGTCCCATCCTCTGGGCTTTAGACGAGGACATCCGACTAGCCTATCAAACAGAACGGGAGGTCCAGAAGGGTGCATCTACGTTCCTGCATCTTGTCGTCTAGCCATTCTGGACTCAGCTCACACCTCTCCAGGCCCAAGACATCTCCCAATATCTCAAGGGTTGCTCAGTCTGTGCCATCTCCAACACTACCTGCTGGCAAACTGGTTCTATTACTCATCCCTCGTCGTCCGTGGCCCCATCTGGGAATTCACTTCATGACTGACCTTCCACCCTCTGAGTCCAATACCTGCATCTTCGTCGTAGTCGACAGATTCTCCAAAGCCTGCAAGTTGATCCCTCTCTGAGGATTACCCACCGCCTTCGAGGCAGCTGAAGCCCTCTTTCAGAATATGTTCCGTCATTTTGGTCTTCCTGAAATGTATCTGATCGAGGTCCTCAGTTCATCTCCCGAGTCTAGAAATCCTTCTTCAAGCTCCTAGTAGTCTCCATCAGTTTATCCTCCGGTTATCATCCTCAAACTAACGGCCAGATTGAGCGCAAGATCCAAGAGATCGGGAGACAATTGACGTCATACTGTCACCAGAACCAGAACAGCTGGAACCGGTTGCTTTCCTGGGCAGTATATGCCCAGAATTCACTCTGTCAGTCAACCACAGGACTCACGCCATTCCAATGCATACTAGGAGACCAGCCTCCCCTGTTCCCTTGGTCTGGGGAACCATCTGAGGTTCCAGCTGTTAATCACTGGTTCGAGCAGAGCGAGAGGGTGTGGGACTCAGCTCACGTCCATCTACAACAGGCAGTGCGAAGACATACCACCAAAGCCAACGCCAGAAGACCCGAGACACCACGATTCCAACGAAGACAAAGGGTGTGGCTATCTACCGGAGATATCCATCTTCGCCTGCCCTGTCGTAAGTTGAGTCACCGCTACATAGGTCTATTTACCATCCAGAGGCAGCTCAACGATGTCACCTACCGGCTCAACATACCCGCACAGTACCGTATCTCTCCATCTTTCCACGTTTTGCATGTTTGCAAAAGGCCTTTGCAATAGGACCGAGATGACGGAATGAGTTGCCCCTACCTATCAGATCTGTGAAATCGCTGCCATTGTTTAATAATTTGTTGAAACTGCACTTATTGTCGGTAGCCTATAAGGCAGGGCTTCTAAACTCCAGTCCTCGCGACCCACTGCTCTGCATATTGTGTATGTCTCCCTTATTTAACACACCTGATTCAGATCCTCAGCTCACTGAGGATCTGAATCAGGTGTGTTAAATAAGGGAGACATAAGGACTAGATGTGATGCTATAAGGACTAGATGTGATGTTCAACATGCTGTCTATTTTTTGATCTACGTGTGTTCTTGTATTTTTTTTTATGGAATTTATATCTAAAGAACTTTGGTTCAATCATGGTTGTGGGGATTTAAAAGTGCTATATAAATAAATAAAAGAAAGAAAAGAAAGAAAGATTTCTTTCAAAAAAGATATCCTGTATAAAGTACTTCAGCTAAATATAAGTATACTGTAGTTAATAAAGGTAGTCAGGTAATATTTATGTGGGTGCCATGCAGCACATGTAGGGATTAGGGGAAATGAGATGGCAGATGAGCAAGCAAAGAGGGGATTATTGAAAGATAACATAGAAATGCAAATAAAAAAGGAGCAAAGGAGAGGTTAAAAGCATTATATGGGAGAAAATAAATCAAAGGTGGCAATACATATGGGAAGGAGGGACTGTCAGGGTTAGTGCAGGTGACTGAAGATGAGGCCACGGGAACTGCAGTATAGTTGATTTATTTAACAACTCAATTCACAGGAACAATGGAAAACTTTCCAGGACTTCAAACGCACTCAACCATACATTAACGACGATCAACAAACACTGAGGGGAAACACAGGGCTTAAAAGAACAGGGACTAATGGGAAGATTAACTGAACACAGGTGAAGGGAATCACTAATTAAACAGAGCGGGGAAACACTAACAGGACTAAACCAAAATTGCAAAAGACGGGGAAACAAGACCTCAAAACAGAACTAAAACACACTGAAAACGAGCTATAGGATAGGGTTTAGAGTAGGGATGTCCCGATACCACTTTTTCACTTCCGATACCGATACCGATGCCGCACCTTTGGCTTTTGCCGATACCGATATTAGTCCGATATTTTTTTTTTCGTGGTCCGACGTGCCGTAGGCTATACGGCCCACAGGGTGGTTTATAGGTTTAACTTTGTGAAAGACAAAACAAAACAAACACAAAAGTAAACATAATACATATCTTTGGAAAGCTGAGAAACTCGTGATTCGAACGACGTAAACCATTTTAAGATACAATCAACACAGCGGGCACAATCTGTCTCTTTGTCAGACCACCAACAGCCAAAACAAATCAACACAAACTGGAAGAAACTCACCAATTAGCCATCTGTTAGTCCACATTCCAACAAAAATGGTTTGGTTTCACTGTAAAGCGTCCATACAATCCAATTTGAAGAAGTTTTTAGTCCAAAACAATTGTATATATGAATAAACATCCATGGAATGTAAATAGTAGCATTTCGCGTTAGCCGACAGCGCTATCACAACTTCGACGCACTAATGCTACGTTCACACCGGACGCGAATAGGGCGTCAGGCGCGAATGATTTCAATGTTAAGTCAATGCAAAGACGCTTTACGCGCGTGAAAAATTCCTGCGGCGCGAATGAGGCATGGAGCGCGGCGCGGAAGACGCGAATTCGCCTCATTCGCGCGTCAAGTTGGCGCGAATGGCGCGAATTGAGCGTTGTGCATTCACGCGTTTGACGCGAATTCGCGTCTGCCGCCCGAGTTGAAAAATCTGAACTTTGGCGTGAATTCGCGCCGCGTTAACCAATCAGGAGCCTAGCTGCTTGCTCACGTGGTGAAGTGTCTGGATGCTTCAATAAATTATTTTGTTAATATGACTAAATGCATGGTGGGATTATGCACAACAAAGCAAATGTTTCATCACTTAAAACATTATCTCTATATGGAGACATGTTCATTTTGTATTGAATGTTATTCATTCCATATCTAGAAATAGTATTATGTTGTAAAGACAATCAACATATGTGCATAAATTCGTGTCTGGACGTGAGAGAGAGAAAAAAATCACAGGACAGGTTAATAACTTTTGAAGGCTGGCTCTATTTATCATCAAAACAAAAATAAATGACAGCTAGATTAGATGGATGAGGGGCCGGGCGAGGGGTGATCCTCGCTCAGATGTGGGACAACAGGTCATCAAACTGGGCGCGTGACAGGCGGAAGTACCGCTGACAGCGGCCGTCATCCAGCGCAGCTCCTGGAGCGAGCAAATGGTGAAACTCGCCAAACGGTTCGGCTCCGAAGGGTCCGGTGGACACAAATATACGGCGACGATGATCCCCACGCCGCTGTTCTGCTATCCAGAGTAAATACAGAGCAGAACTCTCTTGATGAATGCTCGGTCGACATAAAAACAATGACCGCCAACGGATTTTGATTCTGACGCGCGTCACGCGCGTAAATTTCGCTTCAAACTTTACGCGCGCAGTTTCGCTCTTGACACGTGAATTAACACTAGTGGTCAAGCGTCAAACTAGACGCGTCAGGCGCGAATTTGACGCGCGATTCGCGTCCGGTGTGAACGTAGCATAACAGTCTAACTTCAGTTGAAACGTAAACATTGGAGAAAAAAGAATGTCAAAATGGCCCCATGAACTATTGATTGACAGGTCATTTTAGCCAATCGGCGAGTGTTAGGGGTGTCTTCTAAACTCCAACAGCCAACGAGCGTGCCTGGTGAAGATCGGTACCTACCTCTCTTTGAGTGACAGTTTATCTATCCAGTTGCAATAGAGAATGAAATGAAGCTATTTTCTGATAGCCAATGAATTTCTGAAAAGACTGAAATGCAGCTTTTGTGCGCGCGTGTGCGTAAACACAACAATCATCACGTGACAGGCTGCGCCGCTAAACTGGATATCGCTCATATTTTTTTCTCCCCTCCGATCTCCGATCTAGCGTTCTGGGCCGGTATCGGCGCGATACCGATGCCGTGGATCGGATCGGGACATCCCTAGTTTAGAGGTGTTGATGGACTCGATCTACTCCATCTGTGAAACTTTGAAACTTGAACATTTTGTAAAAATTATCAAAAATTGTGCGGGGCACAACCTAACGCGGGGTTAAATGTAACACGGACCGTTTACATAGTTCGCAGCCCATTCTCACTCCCAAGGCGTCACCTAACTGACGCCTTGGGAAGTATTTGGACATGCTTCAATATCTGACGCTTTAGGCGCCCTTTAGCGTCAGATAGATGACGGTTTTTTCGGTTTCTGAGTTGGATGTATGCGTTTCCAAATCTAACTTTATATTGCCTTAATCACTGTCTTGTTGGCTCAAACATGGCACCGTTTTGAAACATGTCAGCAATTCCTAGCGACTGTTAGCTAGGCTTAAAATATGTAATACACAGCGGGGTTGATTCTAACAGAGTGTTACAACTAAGCCTCCAAGTGTACAAAAACTATGCAGCCCTTTTCTATGTCTCTATCCATGATATTGATCCATAATAGAAGGATGATTGGATGAGGGATATGTATGGATATCTGTCTATACAGATGCGCAAACAATATCAAACTATACAAATAAAATAGTACTGAATTATGTGTGTTACACACAAGTGTTACAACTAACCCCTCTGTCTGTTACAATTAGTTACAAGTTGTAACATTTGCACTTCTGTCACTTTCAGTGCAACTGTACGAAAATGGTAGGTCCTAGAAAAAAACTTTAAGTGTTCATTTGTAGCAGAGATGTGCATGTTGCTTGTGTAAAAAAAGTATTATTCTAACCTAATTATTTTTTAATTAATTGAGCCAAAACCAAAAAGCGTTAGGTTGTGCCCCGCTCTCCCCTATAGAAAGCAAATATTGCCTTTAAAGAAAATGTAAATTCTCTCTCTCTCTCTCTTTTTTTTTTTTTTTTTTTTTTTTTGAAGAACATGGTTTTTAACATGTCCCCTTTCTTGCTTTAGTTTTTTTGAGGACTGGTACAGTTGAGATAGTGTTATGTGAATGATTAGGTAATTAGCTGAGATAATGAAATCACACTGATCATCTTAACAGAAAAATGGAGCCTTATACAGTGAAGAGAAGCCCAGGAAGAACCATCAGTGTAATAACTCAGGCTGTCTGGTCAGAACAACCTGTTCTGTTTTTGACAGGGATCCAGAATCATAATAATTACCTGTGAATCTGTGAACTCCATAAGTAACAGAAATGGAACTTGAACGTTTCACGATGTGTCTCTAAATGAAGGATTGCAAGTTTCACTGAGTAAGAGCTTGTCAGAGCAGAAGGTTTTGGAATTCAATAAATATAGTGTGTTCAGAAGGTATAATAGATCTGTCTCTCATGGATAACCTTTAATGGAAGAGAGTCTGCATGCAGTGTTTGCTGAAAAATAGAGACTGCAAGAGAAAGGGACACCTTTATGTGCAAGTGAACGCTGATCTATTTCTTTTTCTTTTGGGGGGAAACTGAGACGTGATGAATAAAATGTCACCCAGGAATAAAGTGAGCTGGTGAGGTGGAACTAACTGCTTACTACAGTTACATGACAACAGGGTTCAGAACTAAATGAAAACTGTTTTGCCACACCTGCTAAGGCAAAGGAATATATAAAAAAAGGAATTTTGTCTCTATAATAATTGGATTATTTAGCTGTTTTCCTGATATATTTGTGACAAACAACAGGTTGTCTGTAGTTTCAAACACAAGTAATTCTTCATCTCTCAGTGAAAGCAGCATGCATATTTTTATTTTACTTCAAACAGAGTTAAGTGTTTCTGGACACTCCATGTTTTCCCCCTCACAAAATAAACTTGTTTGAACTCAAAGCAATTTCAAATCCTTTATTTTGGGACCCTCTTTTAACTGTCTTTAACTACTCTGTAATAAAAATAAATGCCTGCATGTAATTACAGCTGTAATGCATCTTTACAATGTTGACCCTAGAACACAATGGTTCTCTCAACTGGTTTGGTCGTGGGCCATGACCATTAAGCCGTGATCCAAATTGTTGGTAATTTTAACCAGCAAATTTATTTAAAAAAAAATTATTGACACACACCCAAGGACCATACAAATTTATTTAACAAAAGTTAAGTAATATAAGAATATCACAAACTGTTCAGTTTTTTTATTTTATTTTGGTCAAGGTCAATTTTATTGACAACAAAAAACATTTCTGCTGGCCAAGGTAATTCACAAAAACACAATAAAAATGACAGGCATGCAGAAATACAGAATATACAAATTTCAATTAGCAACTTAAACTTTAACCTGTTAACTGTCACCCCCACCCCCCTTTTTTTGAATAGACATGAAAATGCACATTTCGAACTTAAATGGTTGTAATTCAAGAATGCTTTGGAATATAGATAGACATATGATTGGTCTTGTTTTAAAGAAGACATTTGGCAGATTTTTGTAGAAGTGAAATAAATTAAGAAAGTGAAACAGAAAAAAAGTTATAGAAGTTTGAGTTTATGGAAATGTACAATGTAAAAATATTAATTATTCATATTTTACATAAAATATATATTTTCAAAACCTGGGCTACTCTAAAACGGCAGAAAGATCAAAGCCAAAAATCTGAACAAGTTGTGTTTCAAATTTTAGGTTGATATCTCAAAAAATGAGCTTTCAGTGAGATTTTGTTTGAGCGCAGTACCAAACTTTTTCACTAGGGCACAATCAGACTCCATTACTGCCCATATAAGGGCGCCTGCATTTCCATTCATGTTTTGAGTGATATGAACCATTATTTTCACAATTTTCATACAATTTCTGAAGTAGAGATCCTATTCAGAAGGAGCATGGGAAGTTTGGCAGATTTTGATATGAAATGAACCTCTAAGAAACACATACAAAGAACACGCATGTAAGTCATAGCTATAGCTGCCACGTCACAAATGGTGAATTTATTATTTTTTTCTTGATATTTCAAACTTTTCAGACCTTTTTTTTCCAAAATAATTGAATGGATTCTATCTTTTGAACTTTTGGCATGAAAACAAACTGAGGTATCTACCATTTTTTCATGATTTTTCATGTTTACTGCTATTTTAAAATAAAGGTCTGAACACGCCTTATGAGTATGAAAATATTCTTGTTTTATATTGATAAATTATGGCTCCTCTGTAATATATTTTGAAAATCAGTCACCAAATATGGAAACTAGAGATTGTAAGCTTTCAAATGATATATAGTTTGTCAATATTATTTAAGGTATTTACTAAGATATTATTGTTTTAAAAATATAGTGGCAAACGTCCCACCTGTGGGACGGTGACAGTTAAGTGGACTAACATATCCAAAATTATGAATAGGCCTGAGAAAAAAAGAGAGGTTTTCAGAGATGACTTAAATGCAGATAAAGAAGATAGACTGAGGTCATTTCACAGCTTAGGGGAAACTACGGAGAAGGCTCTGTCAGATTTAAAGCGAGATAATCGGACGATTAATAGTTTGTCAGAGGATGATCTGAGAGATATTTGGGGATAGTATGGACAAATGATGTCTGAGATTTAAACTGGATTCAGACCGTGCAATACCACGGTTAAACCCTTCTGTATTTGACCGGTAGTCAATGTAAACGTAACAAAATGATATACTCACTCTTTTTCTTCCTCATTAAGATGCGAGCTGCAGCATCTTGAACCAGTTGCAAACATAATAGGGGAAACTGGTTAGGTCAGCAAACAGAGCATTGCAATAATCAAGCCTTGTTGAAATAAAGGCATGAATGACTGTCTCTAGGTCACTAAAAGATAGAAAGACAGAATTTCAGTTTCTGTAAACCCTTAAGCTGGGAAAAACTGGCTCTGAGTCAGAATTTATTTGTTTGTCGAATTTTAAATCTGAATCAATAGAGCTGGGTATCGATTCACATTTCAATTTCGATTCGATTTCGATTCACAAGCTCTCAGTTCGATTCGATTTCGATTCTCGATTCAATTTTCGATTTCGATTCCTGATTTGATTCTCGATTCGACTATAATGAAGATGTAATACAAATCCTATATTTATAAAAAAAGAACAGTGGACATAAGTTTACTAGTGGTTAATTAATACAAGGAAATTAAGAGCCATAAACCTGTATATAAAACTCTTTTTATTTTAGGTATGCATACAGAGAATAAACAGGATTTTGATTCAATATGCAAAAAAAGTCAGAACAGTCGCACAGCTTGATCAAACAGTATCATGTTATTTTATGTTTAAGATAGATATAGATAAAAAAATACATATAAATATTTAGACTTTTTGTTTTTTTACATTGATCTTACCTAAATGGTAATGTAATTTTTTGTTTATTTTTGTTTTAAGAGTTTATGTATGGAAGCTTGATTTCAATCTTTGAATTAAATTGAAAAAAGTAGCACAAATAAATACAATAGAATAAAGACACAAATTGAGAGACATTTTGGGGTAGTTTTTTGGGTATGTCAGAAATACTACAGAAACTGACTAAAGTAATCCAATGTAAAATAACACTGGATAGTCTTTTTAGTCCAGACTGAATTAAATACAAAGGCTATTAATTCTGATTGCTTACAATTAATACTATATTCTGTTGTTATGACAACAGAATTAATGACTGACACAAATGGCTGCGTTCACTTTAAGAACTAGTGCGCGAATCCATTACTGTTTCATTAACTTTCTGTCACACACGTTTAATGCTAATTTAAGACATTACCGACTGTCTTTACGAGGTTACTCACCAAGACCAGAGTTTTGACATAATGTTGCGTGTTTTAACTGTTAAAGTGATATAATCCAGGGTTAAAACTTTTGTTTCTGGCGAGCTGTTTGTGAGGCAGATTTAGGCTGTAACGTTACTGTGCACGCAGTGAAAGACATCTCTGAGAGTCCGCGAGCACGGGATGGTTTAACATTGCTTGTAAAACTCAAAAAGACGTGAAAATGATAAACGTTAGTTACGATCATAGGTTACGATGCAATGCTGGCCCGATTGTTAAGTGAATATTCCGTCATGTCCCGACTCCTAAACGCGTGTGTGTATCGACAGCTGCAGCGCTTGGCGCTTGATTAGTGCAGAGAGACGAGAAGATGCAGCACCGCGTCCGCGAGCCCTTTATATGGAAAAAATCGATTCCGGCCGTTGAGAATCGATTTTGAATCGAACACATTTTAAAAAACGATTAATCGAAAAATCGATTTTTTTGCCCAGCCCTATGAATCAACAACAACACCCAAGTTCTTTAAATGAGTGTGGATATTCGCTTTCAGAGGTCCTAAACTAGAGGTCAGGCCCCCAAATAGGGGGAGCCAAATAAAATTACTGCAGTCTTGTTTTCATTTACCTGAAAAAAAGTATCGCCCATCAAACTTTTGTGAACTTAATTGACATGGGTTAACCAATTATAAGGACGAAGACCCAGGTTTAATTGAAATTTTGAGATTCAAAAATATAACAAAGAGGGAGCATATATAAAGAAAATCGGGCCCAAAATGGAGCCCTGCGGCACTTCACCATGAAAAAAGCAATGAAATTGACCCATCTCCACATAGAAGCTCCTCTCAGTTTAATAGGACTCATTTTGGCTTCCAAATATTATGAAAACATGATGCCACTTTCCAATCCTTTCCTTTAAAGCTGTGTGCTGTCACCCATACATAGCATCCAAATCAGTCGAATTAGGTAACGTCACGTGTAAAAGCTTATTGAGCTGCAAAGGGTTGCTGTGAAAGACAAACTGTTCAACAGACAGCTGCACAATCCGAGATGGAGAGAAACATGGAGAAGTACAGGCTTCGGTCTTCGGGTGTGTACTTTTGGTGTCGGATAGGGGAGGGAAGTCATCATTTGTTCACCGGAGATAGGAGGTTCTGGAAACAAGACTCACCATGCACATTGTAGAATCTCTCTTGAGTTCCAGTTGACCAGCGGAGAGTGCTCTGACATCCATGGGCATCCCAGAATAATGTCAACATTGGAACCTTCCAGCATAGAGACAGAGACAGAGTGATAGAGACCGCCGATGCGGAGTGTCACGGTGGTAGAGAAGTGGCAGATGCAACCATGGCCCATTGGTTCACCGAGGATGATGGGAACATTCAATGCTTGGGAGCAGGGCTTCCTCTTGAGGTGGAGCTCTTGTAGAAAGTCATGGGAGATGAAATTCCCTGCAGAACCGGAGTCGATAGAGCCTTG